AATGATTTGGTAGTGTTCGTAATTCTAGTGGCTTCCTTTATAAGTAGATACATGTACGTGTGTAAATCGACGATCGGTAGCAATAAGAAAGAAATAATATTTTATTGCCGTTTTCGTCGTAGGAATAAGTCGATAACAATGTACTTCAAATTCAATATCATTACTATAAAAGAAGTGGCTAGCTAATTTATTCCCTCATACAGAAACTAAAAATCTGTTGAAGGTTTTCAAGGCAAGGGGGTGCAGGGGATAATTGGCTCTTTGTACTGGCAATAAATGTATGTGCGTAATCACTTGGATGATGAGTTACCTTTTAATTTACTACTGCACAGCTCTCATCTGTTATCTGTTTTTTAAAAATGGGTATGACTTATTTGTTGTCATTGTAATATAACATGCCCTCATGTCTACATCCCAGCTTAGGGTTCACTCATTGCTAAAATCCTGTTATGGCAAATCGACAGTTTATTTGTTTACTTTTGTAGAATTCAAATGATGTGATGTAGAAGAAGAGGGAACATATTAGCATAATGGATTCAACAGCAGATAATTGTCCAATATGTTGGGATGACTTTAAGGAGCCAAAGTTGTTGAAGTGCTGTCATTCCTTTTGCTGTAAGTGTCTGAGGAACTACACTCGTAAAAATAGGGGACGTAGTGAGCTGACTTGTCCGCTATGTCGACAAGTCTGGGAAATACCAGAAAAAGGTGTTGGTGAATTTTTAACAAACTATTTCATAGCAGACACAGATTTTAAGCTCGAGGGAGTTGTTCTACCCTGTGGTTGCTGCAGGAAGGAACGTGTCCTTAAAACATGTTCACACTGCAGTCAGGCCATGTGTGGTGAATGCGCATTTGATCACCGGGAAGCGCTGCGACTGTCAGGTGAGGATCATCTTACCGTGTTTGACAGTAGAGATGACAACGCTGCTGACTCTGACTCGGATGAATACGAGTCTATGGACTCAGGTCGACGACAGCAGCGACGCAATTCGTCGACATTAGCTATACCCTTTTCTCTGTCTATTGCCTTGCCTCCGATGCGAACAAACTTGAAAGTAGAACCTTTATCAACATTTGTTATAGAGAGTGAATTTCCAGGCAGCAGTGAACGTCCATTTATCAACTGTATACATCCTGTATCGGAGGATGAGTGTTGGATAATTCCTACGGCTGGACCAGACTTGGTCCGTTATACATGGGAAGGAGAGAGAAAGCAAATCATTCACCTTGGTGGTATACTAACATCACTGGTCTGCCAGCCTGATGGTGCATTCCTTATCTCTCTTTGGGGAGACAAGTCAATTGTGGCACTGTTGTCCGACTCCATGGTCAGGGGTTTTTCCAACACTGGAGATATTCATCCTCATTCTTTGGCGGCCTTTCCAGATGGACGTGTAGTGTTTTGTGGACCGTCTTCAAAATCTGCTGAAAAATCAGACCCAGAAAAGGAAAAAACAACAGTCAATGAAGGAAGTCTGTCCATATTGTCTAAAGATGGGTCTCTGATCAGAGAAGTAAGACACAGTAGAACAGGTCCGATATTTGAGAATCCAGCAGCCGTTGCTGTCAATCCTGTGATTGGATCCATAGCAGTTGCAGACAAAGGAAGGGGATGTGTTTTCCTTTTGTCCCCTGATGGTGAAATGTTTTCTCAGTACAAAGGAGCTAACCGCAGACAGCACTTCCCCTTCCTTTTAGCAGCACAGGAAGATGTCCAGTTCCTGCCCCTGAATCTGTGCTTTGATAAAACGGGAAACTTGTACATATTAGATGCATCCTCAAGATTAATCCACATCCTGAATCCACATGGTGAATTCTTGGGCATCATGGCACCAGGGGACATTGAGGAGTTTTCTCATCCATTTAGTATAGCTATTGATCACAAGGGCAGAATGTGGATTGGAGATGAGTCAGACCACTGTGTCAGAGTTTTTCAGATTTGTCTTTATGTAAATCATTTCCCTAGGGACAATTAATTTGTTAAATGAAAATTTGTAATGTGAACATTATTTTTTGTCAAGTTTTTTATAACAAAGAAAATGCAGCAAAGCTGCTTGACATCAAATCTTTTGAAAAAAAAGTCACAACCTGCCAGATGCCAACTGAGGGAACATTCTGCAGGCTTCAATATATTCTTTGATGATTTCTGTTAATGACATTAATTTTAATGTCCAGCCAAATATCTTGTTCACAATCAATATCCTCATGTTGCACTCGTGTCACTCAATAACTGTACAAAGGCACGGAAATGTACATTTTTAGCATTTAAATGTTAATGTCAGTTTCTTTGTTTGGTAGTATTGCATATTAATACACATTTGTTAATATTTGTCCTGTTAGCCTATTCTCTTGTAC